CTCATCCATTCGTCTGCTGATGGGCATCTAGGTTGCTTCCATATCCTGGCTATTATAAACAGTGCTGCGATGAACATTGGGGTGCACGTGTCTCTTTCAGATCTGGTTTCCTCGGTGTGTATGCCCAGAAGTGGGATTGCTGGGTCATATGGCAGTTCTATTTCCAGCTTTTTAAGAAATCTCCACACTGTTCTTCATAGTGGCTGTACTAATTTGCATTCCCACCAACAGTGTAAGAGGGTTCCCTTTTCTCCACACCCTCTCCAGCATTTATTGCTTATAGACTTTTGGATAGCAGCCATCCTGACTGGCGTGTAATGGTACCTCATTGTGGTTTTGATTTGCATTTCTCTGATAATGAGTGATGTTGAGCATCTTTTCATGTGTTTTTTTGCCATCTGTATGTCTTCCTTGGAGAAATGTCTGTTTAGTTCTTTGGCCCATTTTTTGATTGGGTCATTTATTTTTCTGGAGTTGAGCTGGAGGAGTTGCTTGTATATTTTTTGAGATTAATCCTTTGTCTGTTGCTTCGTTTGCTATTATTTTCTCCCAATCTGAGGGCTGTCTTTTCACCTTGCTTATAGTTTCCTTTGTTGTGCAAAAGCTTTTAAGTTTCATTAGGTCCCATTTGTTTATTTTTGCTTTTGTTTCTAAAATTCTGGGATGTGGGTCATAGAGGATCCTGCTGTGATTTATGTCGGAGAGTGTTTTGCCTATGTTCTCCTCTAGGAGTTTTATAGTTTCTGGTCTTACATTTAGATCTTTAATCCATTTTGAGTTTATTTTTGTGTATGGTGTTAGAAAGTGTTCTAGTTTCATTCTTTTACAGGTGGTTGACCAGTAAAACTATTTTTTAAAGTGGATTTTTTTTTTTTTAAAGAAAAAGGTTGCAGGATTACCAGGATCTTGAATATACTTGAACGGAACTGATAAAGGCTGTAACTTTTTAACTTGTCCATTTTTTACTTAATTCTAGCATCCTCTGGGATCTGTCATGTTCTCTGTGTTGTGTTATAGAAAGTACAAAATGCCACCTGTATTCCTTACAGGTCATCCTGTCCTAAAGCAGAAACAGAAGAGGAGAGATTTTTTCCTACCTATGCGACATTGAATTTTCCTCTCTGGTTGACTGGCACCAGCTCTGATGTCTGTGATTTGGAATAGCAGTGCCTTGACTCCAGCCATTTCACAGGTGTTAGGAAACTTTAACATGGTAACTCTGAGGAAATACATGCCAGTGGGCTTTAGAAAATCTTGTTGGCACTATTTGATGAATTTCTTAGTCGTAAATTTATGGAAGTCTGCGTTCATGAAGCCAGATCTTGGAATGTTTACGGGTGCTCTATCTTGTGCTGAATGTGATACTCCCAGTCACTTTTCTGGAAACAGCCTTGGTTTATTTCTCTTCTGTTTCAAAACTTTAGCCTTGGCAAAAGACTTTTTGTAAATGTTCCTTTTATCCTGCCAAAGCAATAAAGAAATCCAATTGACTATTTCTGAGGGGCCAAAACACCAAAAAAAAGCCAAAAAAAACAAACTCAAAAAACAGAGGAGGACACTAATGAGGAATATTTTCCTGATGTTCTGAGGTTCTCTTGCTTTTTGTCCTGGGCCTTTTACATGCTGATCCTTGGATCACCTGCTGTCCCATTCTTGTTGCATTTTGTGACAAGTTCTTGGTTGAAGATAGGTCAAAAGTGAAAGTGTTGATCACTCAGTCATGTCTGACTCTTTGTAACCCCATGGACTGTAGCCTCCCAGGCTCCTCTGTCCATGGAATTCTCCAGGCAAGAATACTGAAGTGGGTTGCTATTCCCTTTTCCAGGGAATCATCCCAACCTAGGGATCGAACCCAGGTCGCCTGCATTGTAGGCAGATTCTTCACTCTCTGAGCCACCAGGGAAGCGGTGTGTGAAGATAGGCCAGGAATTGATTTTTGCTTTCCTTTTTCTTATAGGGATATTTTGATTTGAACTTGTTTCAACTTGTTGCTAGTCCCTTCAAGATAGCGCTCATCTCATTTGGGTGTGTAATGGTAGTCACTTCTCTGGAGGAGTGGAGACACTGTCAAATTTAAGACATTCTTGTGTGTAGGTACCGTCAGTTCTCCAAAGAGTAAACAAGAAACTTCTCCTTCAGGGAATGTGTTGAGGGCAGGAAAAAAACATTTCAGGCATTCTGGGTAGAGTGGAACTCTGATCTTAAAAGGAATTGGAGTCCTTTCTCCTATTAGGCATTGGGCTATAAAAAAAAAGTGCCATATTGTGTAGTTGGCTTTTCATTTAGCTTCTAGTAATCTGCTTTCTCTCCACCTTATTTTCATACTCACCCCAAATTCTGAAATGGAACCATGTTTTTCGAAGAGTGGTTTGAAAATCACATGCATCATAATTAAGGTTGCTTGTTAATCGGATTCCTGCACCCACTTCTCAGATTGAATTAGATCTGTATATGGATCCTGAGAATCTGCATTTGAGAAAAAGTACCAGATGATTTATCATGCATCTTACACTTGGAATCATAAACAACAGGATCTTTGACATTGTATCTTGACTTTGAGGGGAAACTACTTCTAAGCCTTTTCTTCCTGATGAAGTAGATCATTCTTACCATTCTCAATAGGAGGAGCCAGCAGCAGAACCCCTGCTGAGAAATTACAGTTAATGTAGCTCACTTTCTGAATTTCAGGTGTCAGTCTATCCCTCTGAAAGGATTCTTGCCCCCAAACATGAAGTATTCAGTTTTAGTAACTGCTGCTACAGTTTTGGTTGTTTTGGGGGGTTATTTTGTAGCTGTATTCTTAAACATTCTAGGAGCAAGATTCCTATGTACCTACCCTCTCTGTGTGAGAGAGAGGAGTCCCCTGCCCAGAAGCTAAGGGAAAAGTTCATGACTCTTGTGGAGCCCACAAACAGACCCCGGGAGAGTGGCAGACGTAGGAACGTGGGTGGGAATGGGATGGGCCCAGATGCCTGTCCTGCAGGTCTGCTGGAACCTGCAGAGGAAGTTGCTGTTAACAGATGCAAAGGGCTTTTGCCAGAGGCCCCAGCTTTCCCGTCAGGGCTGCCTCAGCTGATGCAAACCCCTGCTGCTGTGGCTGGTGGGGTTGGCCAAGTTTCTTTTTGTTGAGTCTTGTTTCCACCCCCAACTTCTTGTCAGTCCTGTATATAGATGCTGGTTTATTTGCACACTCTAGGCTGATCTTGAATTTGAAAGGCCCTCATTGTTTTTGAGCTTAGTGTTCAGATAACACCGCATGCCTGTGGCAGCTAGGACACCCTGTGAAGGAAATGCCTGAACTCAGCCCTGTCATTCATTCCCGGTATGTGTGTGAGTGTGGCCAGTGTTCAGGACGTTTTAAGAACATCGGTCTGTAGGGACTATTACTTGGGGCCTACAGTAGGACTAGGCTTCTTCTCTGTGATGTTTGGAGTTTTAGGGACCATTTTTTCTAAGTCACTTCTCTCCTTCCATTTCACAGTTAACAGGATTAAAGTCTGTTTGCCCAAGCCTTGTTTCCACACATAACTGAGGTACTAGAGCTTCCCTCTGATGAAAAGACTGCCTTGGGGGGACAAAGGACTGACTGGCCAGTGGTGGTGCAGAGTGGTTTTATAATCAGGACAGGTTGGCAAATTCCTTTGCACTGTGGTCCAGGGACTCCTTTCTTTCTTTCTTTTTTTTTTTTTTTTAAAGTAGTAGCTTCTTTAATTTGTCTAACACTTAGTTACAAAGTTTTGTACCACATACCATTTTATTATATCTGTATAATGAAATAAATCTTCCAGACTCTAATTTAGATGTCTCAAGGCCCTTTCCAGCTCTGATTCCCTAAATGTATAAACTTTTTTCTTAAACTGCTAGACTCTCCTTGCAAGATCACAATGTCTTGTGAAACAGAGTGAGTTAATAGCACTAATGTGGCCCTCATTTCCAGTGCACATAATCAGTACGTAATCTCACTTTCTTACCAGTAATTTGGTTATGCATGGACAATAAATAGTCATCCCTCTATAATAAAACAGTGTCCAGGTAGTCAGGGAGACTGACTACTAGAAAGATAAGTTATCTAGTACTGTATAATTGTTAATGTTCATGGTCATCCTAGTTAACTGTAAAATTGAAAGTATCTTCTGAGTCATCATAATAAATAATTTTGAACCATACCATCTGACTTTTTTAAAATGTTATGAAAAAATGTTATGAATATTATGAAGCTACAGAAGAATACTGGGTGAATCAGAATATACCAGTCTCTAGTAGAAGCTGGATAAATGGAATTATATGTATTAGTCAAAGTATATTTTAAAGCTAAATATAAACTCATTGGGAATTGTAAAGGGAAGCAAGTCATCCTGCTTTTGTAATTGTTGTTACTGCTGGCTCTGTATTTAATTTTAAATTTTTATTTAATGTTTATTCTTCAGTTATGCCATATGGAATATAAAAATTCTCTGAACAGATTGAAAATTAAAAAATAAGTGCATAAGCAATAAAGTGATTATTATTTTTAAAAATCCAGAATAAACTAAAGTATCTTGTTTTTCTGGCTGATGGTTTCTGTGTCTCTAATTCAAAAGACAGATATATTTCTTAAATACCATCCATGATGATCAGTTAGAGTGGACACCACTGACTTCCCAGGGTCTTGACAAGTAACTATTTGCTTATGTAGCTCAGGTAAATAAAAGAACTAATCATTTTAATATGTCTTTTCATTCAAGATGCTTGTTGTATCCTATTCCTATAAACTTACTGGTACTTCAACTTTTGGAGATTGAAGAGAGGAACTGCCAAGTTAAATAACTTGCTTTAATGTAATCAAGGAGTCTTCTCTGTCCTTTTTATTACCTTCTAGCCCACTGTGTAGAAATACCTTTCTGCCAGAATTCTGATGTGCAAGCCTGACGGGAGGTCCTGGTTATGAAATGCAGTGTTTTTTTTTGCCGACTCTCATCCTGCTTGCCTCATGCCAGATCCTTGTGCTTTCTGCCTTCCAGTTCTCTCCTGCGGTATGGGGGCAACCTGTCCCTCCAAAGTGCCATGAGTGTGCGATTCAACAGTAATGGGACCCAGCTCCTGGCCCTGAGGCGTCGCCTGCCCCCTGTGCTCTATGACATCCACTCCCGCCTGCCTGTGTTCCAGTTTGACAATCAGGGTTACTTCAACTCTTGCACCATGAAAAGCTGCTGTTTTGCAGGAGATCGTGACCAGGTACGTGCCTTCTGCCTCCTCATCCCAGATTCACACTTTCCTCTCAGATTGTTCTTTCTGTACTGGTCTTTATTTCCCTTTAGCCAATGTCAGGTAGAAACAGTTGAAGGGAAATAGTGTCTGGAGACATTCCAGCTTAATAGTGAGTTTCTTCATCAGAGTTGCCTTTGGATAATATGAGGTACACATCATAAACCACAATATAGTTCTGAGCAACCTTCATCTGCCAAGTTTGTGAAGAGATTTTAAGATTCTAAGAGTGTGTCATTTCAGAAGAGAGGAGGAAGTCCATAGAAAATTAGCCTGCCAAAAAGGATACTTTTTTTTTTTTTTTTTTGGTATCAGTGAAACACCATGGGTACCAGCTAAGAGACATACATCCTGAATAGCCCTTTTGGGTGGCATCTTTTTCTTGGATGAAATGGGCTGTGCAACTTTGAGAGGAAGCCAGATGCTGACTCCCTCCTTTATATAACCAGCACCACAACTGGGAAGGAGAACCGAAGCTGTGAAGTTTCCTGCCTTTTCACTGGGAGTCGAAATACTGATGTTGACTTAGAGCTGGCAGTTTAAAAACATACCTATACCTTGTCAATATTGGCCTTAGAAGTGCTGAAGTGAGTGTCAGTGAATGGACCAGTTGGACTGGTCTGAGTAACCAAGTTTAAATAAAGACAAATATAAAGAAAGATTGATCAAATAATGTTTTTTTTATTTTTTATTTTTTCTTATTCTTCTGAAACAACAAATCTTATTGCTGTTGCACATCTAGATTGGAAAAAGAAACCTTAGTTTCTTGCTAATTCTTCGTATTCTCTTTGGATCCATCAGCTATGTCAGAATTATATGTCAAAATTCTCACATGCTGTATTCCATTGCTTTAAAGTTATTTGTGGGCAAGGGGCGTAAAAGAAGTAGTTATTTGAGAACTTGTGAAGATCTTATTTTTTTTAAAGCAGTAGCTAGGATTTTTCTCCCTAGCTGAGGTTGCTAGAGGCTCTCCAACATCATAGCTTAAAGATTAGCATATGTAGTAGGAACACAATAAAGCTTTTTAATTAGACTTGCTTGTTAAAGAAGCTGAGAATATCTTCTAAGTGGCCTAGACTAGGGATTTCCCCTTTTGTAAATAGAGAATATATGTCTAAATTCAGAATTTATATTCAAGTCAGGGCCTACTTAGCTGCGATCTACACTTAAAACCACTAGGTGGCCTCAGTTATATAAGTGATAAATTTCCCTTGAGCGACCACAGTTCTTGATAGACTTTGTTTTTATTAGGCAGTTTGTTTCTTGGGTGGAAAGAAGCAGTTTCTAGAGATGAACTGACTCTTGATAGAACAGGTAGCTTTCTGCTCTGCAGATGGTTGATTCAATTTCATTTAGCTGTGGAAATGACAACCAAGCGCCTCCTCCCTCCCTCTCTACCTTTCTTCCTTGCTTTTGTTGATTTTCCATCTTCTGTCAACCTCTTATGCATGTGAATTTTATTTCATTGAGCAATAAAGAGCAGGCACTACTTCATGAAGTGGTTTATTAGGTTTTATTACTGGAGACACAGGGCCTAAGGAAAAGGAGAAAAGAGGTGAAGGAGAATGGGTGCTGTGTTTTCTGTCGGTTCCTGTGTTAGCAGCCGGAACCTGTCTGCATGGAGTCCTTGCACCGAGATGTAAGAGCACCTAGGCCATGATTTCTCCAGCTTGGCACTGTCCTCATGTTGGTCAGATAATTCTTCACTGTGAGGCGCTGTCCTGTGCATTCTAGGATAGTTAGCAGCATTCCTGGCCTCTCCCCACTAGGTGCCAGTGTTATCTCTCCCAGCTTTCCCCCAAACAACCAAAAATGTCTCCAGACATTGCCAGTTTATCTCCTGGGTGGAGAATTGCCCCAGGTGAGAACTTTTGACCTAAGTTACAGTTATGAGATACATAGGGACAAGTGGGCTTCCCTGATAGCTTAGTTAGGTAAAGAATCTGCCTGCAATGCAGGAGACCCCGGTTCAATTCCTGGGTCAAGTACAGGTATTACCATAGTCAGAAACACATGAGTTATTTTGTGGTGGTCCTGGTTATCTACATTGACAGGATGCAGTGCTTTTTGCCTTTCAGGTTATATATACTGATAAAAATGTTGGATGGCTTTTGATTTTCTCTATTCAGATTTGATGGTTATGTATGTCTTATGGGAAGAGTTTGTGGGTAATGTATCCTTTCTGACAAACTAGACTGTTTTTTGGATGAGCTAAGTGGTTCGCCATGGATAGAGGAGGATGGGAAGTCGCTGAACCTCACTTCAGATCCATTTCGGAGTTGAGCTCTATCTGTGGTCCTCATGTAGATGACCAGAGTGTGTCACCTAGGGAGTGAGGCGCGAGAGATTGACGTGTGGCTCTTTCTCCACCCCGTAGGGACTGAGCAGTGTCGCCGACCCATCATTATCTTGTCTCCAGTGCCTGCTGTACTGACAGCACAACAAATATTTGTTGAAGTGAATCTGAAGTATTTTAGTCAGTGTGTGGTTTTTAGCTTTCTAGGCCTAAGGCTTGTCTAACTGTAAGTCAGGACTGATAATACCTGTTTTCTTGCTCAACATCCAGGAGCTTTAGGAGGATGATTAAATAATGGATTTTCAGTGAAACTAAATCAGCTGAGTTTATACTTCTAAGTGTTACACAGGAGGCCAAAATTATTGTCTCATTTCTGAAACATGTCTCTCAAAGGTGATTTACGGGCTCTGCATTTATACACTTTGGGCTGAAGCAGCGGCTGCCATAGTTACTGTGTGATCTGTAGGACTGATACTCTGACTAGTTCAAACAGGATCTTTTTAGCTGCTTTCAAATTCCAAAGCCTACTCTTTCCTTATATCAGGTCTTTATATTTGATCTTGTTCTTGTATACTTTGAGAACTCCCACAGCCTGAGGTTCTGTGCTCTGCAACTCTTCATTTAGTCATAGGCTGGGTAAGTAACCATCCCAGAGAGGAATCTGAGAATTTCCATAATAGGAATGAACACGGTCAGGAAAGGCAGTGAGTGACTTATCTATCTGAGACAGTCTTCTGGCTTTTCATTACAATGAGATTACGCAGTCCACCCAAATCAAAACATTATGCAAGAGAGTCTGTATTTCTTATTAGACTATCCTAGGTTCACTAGGTAATTCATTAGGCCCAGAATGAAACTAACTTTTCAAGATCTTGGACTTGGAATAAAATGTAAAACTGAATAGTGTTTTATGTCTTCTGCATGCTCATTGCCACCATTGTGGATCAATTCTAATTATAGAGCTTTTAGAGATTTTGTACAACCCCTAGGAGGGCCTTTTACAGATGAGAAAACAGGCTTAGAGAGTTAAGTTAAAACAAGTTAAGACATACAAGTTTGAGTAGGACTAGAACCCAGCTTTTTGAGCTCTCAATAGAGGCTCCTTTTTGCTGTAAGAAGGTCAAAATTTAATGCCAACAGAAGCAAGGCAAGCAGCAAAGACAAATGAGTTGGGCTAGAAGTAAGCAGTAGTGAGTGGTGGGGACTATAGCCATGACTTAGATTTACCCTCCCTAAATATTAAGTGAATGCCATGTAAATGAAGCTTTGACTCAACTTCAGCCTATTGTGGCCAAGAGGGCCTTTGGTTTTTTTCAAGAGAAACCAGAAGTAAAGATGTGTTATATGATGTTTCTGTCCTTTATTGTGCCCATCTTTGCATGACATGTTCCCTTGGTATCTCTAATTTTCTTCAAGAGCTCTCTAGTCTTTCCCATTCTGTTGTTTTCCTCTATTTCTTTGCGTTGATCACTGACAAAGGCTTTCTTATCTTTGTTTGCTATTCTTTGGAACTCTGCATTCAAATGGGTATATCTTTCCTTTTCTGTCCCTCTAGTCAGAGCTCTGTTTTTTCCAGTGGTCATGTATGGATGTGAGAGTTGGACTATAAAGAAAGTTGAGCACTGAAGAATTGATGCTTTTGAATTGTAGTGTTGGAGAAGACTCTTGAGAGTCCCTTGGACTGCAAGGAGATCCAACCAGTCCATCCTGAAGGAGATCAGTCCTGAATATTCATTGGAAGGACTGATGTTAAAGCTGAAACTCCAATATTTTGACCACCTGATGTGAAGAACTGACTCATTTGAAAAGACCCTGATGCTGGGAAAGATTGAAGGTGGGAGGAGAAGGTGACGACAGAGGATGAGATGGTTGGATGGCATCACCGACTCAATGGACTTGAATTGGAGTAAACTCTCGGAGTTGGTGATGGACAGGGAGGCCTGGCGTACTGCAATCCATGAGGTCTCAGAGTCGGACGCGACTGAGCGACTGAACTGACTGACAAACTGATGTGAAGTTTCTTGATTTCTAAGTATTGCAGCAAATTCATACTTTATTGTATGAATTAAATGAACAGGTGCACCATAACACCTGTTCTATTCTAGAGCCACAAGTTTCAAACCTCTGCTTCGGCAGGAAAACATCCATTTTTCCTGTTTCCTACTGAACCTGTCCTAACTTCATGCCCTTTCCCCCTTCCGTCTTATAAAATAAGAAGACAGATATTTACTGAGCATCTACTGTGTGCCAGATGCTGTGGTAGACACATTTACATGACTGCCAGTTTGTATCCTCTTTGAGACTTTCATTCAAAGCCCTGTGTATACTCTGTCACCCCCACTTTTGGCTAAAGATAGACGGTTTATTGCTATATATAAAATAATAATAGTACAGGGCTTCCCTGGTGGCTCAGACGATAAAGAATCTGCCTGCAATGCAGGAGACCTGATTTCAATCCTTGGGTTGGTTAGATCCCCTGGAGAAGGGCGTGGCTACCTGCTCCAGTATTCTTGCCTGGAGAATCCCCATGGACAGAAGAGCCTGGTAGGCTACAGTCCATGGGGTTGCAAAGAGTTGGACACAACTGAGTGAGTAAGCACAATCTTATTATTCAAATTTGATAACTTCTGTCATCAGATAAGGTGATATAAGTGACATCAGATTGGTTGGGCAT